AGAGTAAAAATTAAGCCTTGAAATGGAAAGCTCTCAGTATGCTGAATGTTTGCGGTGTTCAAAAATAATAGCACCAGAATGCTTGCAATGTCAAAAAATAAATAGCACCGTGATTCCAGCTGCATTGGAGTCCCTGGGCAGGTCCCAGATCACCCTGTGGCGTGCCCTCTCAAGTAATCCCCATGGCTGTCAAAGATGACAGCTCCGTTCAGGTGCCAATCTACACAGAGGGACTTCTGTAAACAGACCGCTCTGTCCTGTCATCTCTGCTCAAATCCTCCACGATATCCCATGGGGCCAGGGCTGGCCAGGCCAGAATGTTGGCCAAGTGGCCAGAGTCCAAGCTCATGAAGCTGGAACTCGGACAGGGACTCCTGCCAAAGGCAGCACACAGGACCAAGAGCCAGGGCAGCCTGTCACAGCCCACTAGGAGAAGCCTGGGTTCCAGTACAAACAGAAGCCAGAAGGACAAAGGGTGGAAGCCAAGGCCAGAGTGACAGAGCCAAGAGCTCAGAGTTAGCCGGTCAGTCAGAAACCAGTCCGGGGATGGGTGAGGGAGTGTAACAATTATGGTCAGCAGCACCAGCCAGGCTAGCACTGGAATTTGTGGGCAGCAGGGGCGGGAGGGGCCTGGGCGAGACAGGCTGATATAAAGGAATAGGGGCAGGGCAGACATCCTCAGTCTCTTGGCATATTTCTGGGTCAGCTCCTTTTCTAAGATACACCCACATCTTAAATATAAGCGCTTCCTGGCAAAGACTGTTACTTTCCTTGGGAGTTAATTAGGAAACCAACCACTTTCCCCAAATGCCTTCTACGGCGAGCTCACCCTAGATTATTATTCTGTTTTAGTTCTGATCATCCACCTGGTTTTTCTCTAAATACAAAAACACCCCAAACTGAGATTATCTACAATTCTGATCAAAATAATGGATAATTATAATGAATATAAATAGGAAGCCACCAATATTCTGCCAGTGTCCCTCTGAACTGCTGAGATTGGGCTTCCTGAGAAAATCAGTTGTTCTCAAACTTTATGTTCCCTGGTCCCTTTTACACTTAAAAACTATTGAGGATTTTAAAGAGCTTTTGTTTACGCAGGTTATATCTATTAACTTACCATGTTAGTAATTAAAACTAGGTGTTTTAAAAATAATCAATAATAAATCATTACATGTGAACGTAAATGGCATAATTTTAGGAAAATAATTCGAACCTCCAAAACAAAGAGAAATCCATGAGAAGAATTTTTTGTTTTACATTTTTGCAAATTGTTTTACTATCTGGCTTAGTAAGCAACAGCTGGACTCTGCTTTTGTCTGTCATGATATGTTGTTTTGGTTGAAGTTAATGATGAAAACCTGGTGTCACACACATAGTTGGACGTCTCCATTTCAGGTCATACCAAAAGGGTCTTGGAGACCCCTAGGCATTCTCAGACCATACTTTGAGAACCACTGGTGTAGATGCTGGAGCTACCATGTCCCTCACCTGTGTGGATCATGGGGAAGAAAAGGGGCAGAGCTCAGGACAGGAGAGAGGATGTTTGTGGGGGAGGGGATGGAAGAGCCAAGGCTGGGTGCTTCATTACCCAGATATCTGTTCCCAATCTGCACTGCACTTGGCTGAGAGCAGCCTGACCCCAGCTGGCCCCCCTCTCAGGAAAGGAAACACTGAGATGGGGTTTCCCTATGAGCCATCCCTGAGCCACAATTGGTAGGGACCAAATGTTGCATGGGTACGGGCAAGTAAGAACAAGGCAGCGGTGCTCAGTTCCAGATGCACACTGGATCACGTGGGAGACTTAAATGCTGATTTGGTTGGTCTGAGCAAAAGCCTGTACAGCAGGAGCGTTCAAAGTCCCCAGGTAATTCCAAGGTACAGTCAGGAGTGAACACCATGAGATAGAAACGGGCTCAGGAAGCAGACCACCTGGGCCTGGATCCTGCCTCACCAACTATATGCACAACTCATTCGTTGTATAACTAACCTCAGGCCAGGTATTCAAGTTCAGTTTATTCATCTGTAAAATGGGGCTGCCATAAGGGACATTGTGAGTATTCAATGAGATCATCCAGTTAAGGTTCTTAGTGCTGTGACTGGCAGAGTATGCACACAGTAAGTGTAAGCTGTCATTTTCAGCTTCCAGGGATGAGCACCTCCAAGGAAGCTGCTCCACACATAGGATAAGCCACGCACAAAGTGGATGTATGACCTGGGTCTTCTTGTCTCCCCATCTGGAAATACAGGTAGTCAGCAACAACCCCCAACCTGGGCTCTAGTCCTGGAATCTTCAGCGAACAAGAAAGCTCTTGGCTGAGGTGCACAAAGATGAGGTCACTAGAAACAGGTGCAGGAGAAGTCGGTACAGAGTGCAATGATGGTGTTCACACTGTGTGTGTCTGTGTGTGTGCACACACACTCCGTAGTCGGACTCAGATACTGTTTTTTCCCCTTAAAATCATTGGAACATCTCAAATCTATTGCAGATGGCAGAGGGAAAAACGCAGAGTGGAAATATTTTAATGGCTTATTTTTGGCCTGCGGACTGTCCGTAGAGACCTAAAACGAGTGAGGCGCCCTCCTCATTTGTCCCCAAGAACATCATCATTACACATTACACACCGCGTTGTGCCTCAGAGCTCATCGGATCAGCCATGAAAGGGAAGAGGGATGTGGAAGGGGGGCCAGGGAGGACGGATGAACCTGGCCCGCTCCCTGCCCAGGCAGTGCAGCAATGACTCAATCTTTTTATTAAGAGGCAGGATGAATCATGTAACACTTCTTCTAGAATTACTGGATGTGGACAGCTCCTCCAGCTGTTTATGGGGTGGAATCTGAGAACCTTTGGACACAGATGTGCTGCTGAGTCCGCATGACATCCGTCCGGCCAGATGAGCCTGCCGTGCTGATGGCCGGTTTAATTTCCTTTGGGTTTACTGCCTTTTGTGAATTCACACAGAGATAGGTGCCAAACTAGCTGTGATAACTAACAGAAATGAACTGGGGGGGACCATCGTTGAAAGCCAGTCCTGTACCTCCTGGAGGAATTATATCTAATCACCCAGGACAGAGAGTTGTCCAGGCTGCCTAAGGCCACTGAGGGAGCCAGGGAAACAGGAAGATAATTGGATCCAGGGCTCAGCACGCTTCATCAGGAGTGAGATTACAGAGGCTAATCCTTCAGACTCAGTGGGTCGGGCAGCAATTAGCAAGCCTCATTAAAGGATCAGTTCTCACATCCGGGTCTTAAGTATTTACACAAAGTTAAGCCATAGACATGTTGGGCTGATTAAGTGAGCAGGGGGCTAGCCACATGCCAAGATTTCACCTTCCAAGCAGCCCCACACGGAATGTGATGGGAGGCCAGGCTCTGATAGAGTAGCTGGACGCAAAGACAGTTGCTTTTTTATTTTTATTTTTTATTTTTGGTCGTGTTCATGGCTTTAAGTGTATGTTCCATCAGAGATGATTTACTAGCCTGAAAGTCTTTGCCAAACTGCTCGGTATGAAATGATTTCTTAGGCTTTGCAAGAACTCTCCTCTCTATCATGTGGAGGTTTTCCTCTACCAAGTGAACATTCTTCCATGCTTTCTCCTCCTGAATGTGATGCTGCAGTGCCCCTGTCAGCATGGTGGCTGCAGTTCTTCAAGCAGAGGTGGTACCAAGGTTCTGCCTGTAATTCCTTCCTGAGAAGATGCTGGGATCGGTGCTCGTCTCCTCGGGACAGCCACCCCAAGGGTGGGGAGGGGTGTCTGCTCTCAAGTGTGGTTCCCATCCCTCCACTGGCTCTGATCTCTGAACGGAGAGGACACCACCTCTCAGTCCTCTGATTCTCCCTTCCTACAGGATAGGGTCTGCTCAGCAGCCAGGCTACAAAACTGTGGCTGACCCCAGCTCAGGCCCCTCTCCTCAGGGTCTCACCAGCAGGTGTTTTTTTTTCCTATGTAAATTTCTAGGTTAAGGAAGCCATGAAGTTAAATGAAATGGAAATGAACTTAAACTCAGTTAAAATATATAGTTCCTATTGCTAGCTTCACAAAAGAACTCTCTAATCACATATTCTTTCCTTTTTCTTATTTTTCATGCAGATTAATGGACTAAAATAATATCACTGAATATAGAATGACAAGTTTTAGACAAATAAAACATAAGCTTTGGACAGGTCTAAAGTGCTTTCAAAGTCTCTGAAATGAGCTATTTATATTTCTCAGCTATTTAACTTTATGCCTAAAATTATGTTGGTTCTGGAACAAATATTTTATGACTTCTGCTGATTCTCCTATTCCCTAGCCTGTGAGCTTGGAGAACTGAAAGTGTTGACCACGAGAAGGGGGTTCATGAGGTTCAGGGGAGTGGGGCAGAAAAAAGACCTGGAAAAAACACTTGTGGGGTATAATCCAGACATGTACTGTTTCCCACCTCCCCCTATCCCCCACCCCCAGGAGCAGCCCCTGGCCAAGGCTGGGCTCTGAAAGATATGCACATTCCCAGTAACAGTCATGGGGTACAGATAACAGAGCAGTGTTGAAGGCAATGTGGCAGTCATGTAATCAATGTAATTGTAATCATGGGTTAGAAATTTGGTTAATTGACTTGCTTGCCTATAAGACTGTTTGCTGTACTGCCTCAAAGTTAGGTTTCTTTCAGCACCAACCCACCGCCATGCGTGCCTGCAGTAAGTTCTAATAAACCAATGTCTTTCCCTGCTGGACCTCTAGGTGACTTCTTTGGAATATGTAAAGAACTTTACACGCAAACCCTCTCAGCTTTGGGTTTGCCACATTACAACACTCCCCTCCACCAAAAATATTGTCAACTATCCCCGGCATGAGAGATCAATGTCCTTGTGTGAGTCAAAAAAGCAAACAAAACAAAATCTCTATCTCTCCCTCTCTCTCTCTCTCTCATCTCTCTCTAGCACATGCGCGCGCGCGTGCACACACACACACACACACACACACACACACAAACCATACCAAAATAACATGACACTTACCTGTTCCTGAATTGCACGTTTTACCAGAGGGAGACCCAAGATAAACTTCACTCTCTCAACTGTCAAAGCTCTTGTTTCGTCCAAACTTAAATCATACCTGTGAAGAACAGACAAAAAATAAGACTGAATTGTTGGTGACTCTGAGTGGCACCTATGGATGCTTTGGCCCAGGGATCAGATACAGCAACTGTCTGTGTTGCAGATCTTGTTAGATACCGTGTACACTGTGTGTGTCACACAGACTATGTGTGCAATATAACAGGTTCCATGAAAGGAGAGAAGGAAGGATTTCCTGACAAGACCTTCTTAAAATAAGACTGCAGCATCTCCTGTTCTGCAAGCTTTAAAGATGGCAGACACTCTCACATGTTTGAGATGAGTCAAGAGTAGCATTTGTGAGATGGAAGAGAGGGAGTGACTGTGTGTTACAAGGTGTGGAGTGTGGCAGCCATTGGAGTGTCACTCAGGGTTGCCCTAGGGAGTACCTGCCTCTAGCAGCCACACCTTTGAGTTAACTGCAGAGTTCACTCTGAAGCTGCTCATCTCTCAGCTGCTTCCAGCTAATGATTGAGCACAGCAAGGTTTTAGAGTAAGGTCATGCCTGCCCAACAGGTGACTTCTGCTCTGGGATGCCCCCACTGACATGCAAAGACTTTGTCATCACTGTGCTTTGGTCTGAGGCTGTGCTGTGGTCCCAGCTCAACCCTCTCTTCCCTCTCTCCCTCCATGGGGACCAGTTTTGCCTGGGTTCTGGAGGCTTTTTCCACCCACTCAGCTCCTTCGCTTTGTCTTTCACAGGTGTTTTCCCCAATGAATCTTTTTCATATCTAATGTCTACTTCTCAGTGAACCTAAAGTAATATAGGAGAGGTTCCACCTCTGCCCATCTAAAATGTTTCCATGCAAAATGACTTTCCAGGCAAATGAATCACAAAAGAAGGCAGGAATCGTGATCTTAATATCAGACAAAACAACCTTTAAACCTTAATCAAAAATTTTAAAAGATACAAAAGGACACTACATAATGATAAAAGATTCAATTCATCAACAAGAAATATCCATCCTAAATATATATGCAGCCAACACAGGAGCACCAGCATTTATAAAGCAACTACTAAGTAAACGAAAAACAGATATTGACTCAAGCACTATATAGCAGGGGGCTTGAATAACCCACAAACAGCCCTAGATAGATCATCAAGGAAGAAATCAACAAGGAGACCCAAAACCTAAACTCGGCGCTTAACCAAATAAACTTAATAGATTCCTAAAGGATATTCCATCCAACAACCATAGAGTATACATTCTACTCATCACCTCATGGAACATACTCCAAGATCGATCATATCTTCAGCCATAAGTCAAGCATAAACAAATACCATAAGGTTGAAATATTGCCATGCACCTCCTCAGACCAAGTGGAATAAAAATAAATATCAACGCAACAAAATTTCCCCAAAGCTCACAAAAACATGGACACTAAACAGCATGATGCTGAATAACTACTGGGTCAACACTGAAAACAAAATAGAAATTAAAAGATTCCTGGAAACAAATGAAAATGAATAAACACCTTACCAAAACCTCTGGGATGCCATAAAAGTGGTTCTAAGAGGGGAATTTATATCTCTACAAACATCCATCAGGAAAATGGAAAGAGCACAAGCTGACAGCCTAACAAATCCACCTAAGGGAGTTGGAAAGAGAAGACCACCAGCACACTAACTTTAGCAGAAGAATCCAGATCACCAAAATAAGAGCCCAAATATGGGACATAGAAGACAACAATATCATAGAAAACATCAACAAAACAAAAAGCTGGTTCTTTGAAAGAATTAACAAGACTGATGGACTCCTAGCCAAAATGACCAAGAAAAAGCCCAAATAAACACAATCAGAAATACAAAAGATCAAATCATAACTGACCCAAAAGAAATACAAAAGATTATCAGAAGTTACTATGCACACCTGTATGGAAACAAACTTGATAACCTAAATGAAATGACTTTCTGACATCACACAACCTCCCAAGGTTGAAACAGAAAGACACTGAGACACTAAATAGACCTATAACTACCCAGGAAATTGACTCTGTCATAAGAAAACTACCTACCAAAAAAAGCCCTGGACCAGATGGTTTTCCAGCAGAATTCTACAAAATGTACAAGGAGGCGCTGATACCAATCCTAACTGAAAATATTTCAGGCAGTTGAGAGAGATGGAATTCTCTCCAAATCATTTTACAAAGCTAACATCACACTGAAACCCAAGCCAGGTAGATCCAACAAAAGAAGAGAACTACAGGCCAATATTCCTTATGACTATAGATGCAAAAATCCTCAACAAGACTCTAGCAAATCAGATCCAACAACACATCTCGAAAATCATCCACCATAACCAAGTAGGTTTCATCCCCAGGATGCAAGGCTGGTTCAACATCCATAAGACCATAAATGTAATTAAATACATCAACAGATGTAAAAACAAGAGCCACATGATTATATCATTAGATGCAGAGAAAGTTTTTGATAAAATCCAGCAACGCTTCTTGACAAAAACCCTCAAACACCTAAGTATAGAAGAAACATACCTCAAAATAGTAAGTGCCATCTACAATAAACCCGCAGCTAGCATATTGCTAAACAGACAGAAACTGGAAACATTTCCCCTAAAAACTGGAACAAGACAAGGCTGCCCACTCTCACTCTTCTTGTTCAACATTGTGCTGGAAGTCCTAGCTAGAGCAATTAGACAAGAGAAGGAAATCAGGGGTATCCAAATAAGAAAAGAGGAAGTCAAGTTAACCCTCTTTGCTGATGATTTGATCCTATACCTCAAAAATCCAAGAGAATTGGTCAAAAACCTGCTTGCACTGATAAAGAACTTGGGCAAAACCTCAGGGTACAAAATAAATGTGCAAAAGACAGTTGCATTCTTATACACCAACAACAAGTAGGTAGAGAACCAAATAAAAAGCACAATCCCATTCACAATAACCATCAAAGAAATGAAATACCTCAGCATCTTCCTAACCAGAAAAGTGAAAAACCTTTATAATGAGAACTACAAAACACTGCTCAAAGAAATCCAAGAAGACATAAACAAATGGAAAAATATTCCATGCTCATGGATAGGAAGAATCAACATTGTTAAGATGTCCATCCTACCAAAGGCAATCTACAGATTCAACACAATACCCATTAAATTACCAACATCATTCTTATCAGACCTAGAAATGACAATACAGAAATTCATGTGGAAACATAAACAACCACCAATAGCCAAAACAATCCTTAGCAAAAGAAACAAAGCAGGAGGTATCACACTTCCAGACTTAAAACTTTACTATAAAGCTACAATAATCAAAACAGCCTGGTATTGATACAAGAACTAGGCATATCGACCAACAGAACAGGATCAAGATTCCAGAAGCAAAGTCTCAATTTCTCAACCAACTCATCTTTGACAAAGCCTCCAACAACCACTGGGGAGAGGAGAACCTATTCAGTAAACGGTGCTGGGGAAACTGGCTGATCACACGCAGAAGGCTGAAACAGGACCTCTATCTATCATCATATGCAAAAATTAACTCTAAATGGATCAAAGACCTAAACATAAAACCTCAAACTATAAGAATCTTAGAAAATGCAGGAGACACCCTTATGGAAATTGGAACTGGCAACCAATTTCTGATCAAAATACCAAGTGCCCACACCATAAGAAATAAGACAGACAAGTGGGAACTCATCAAACTGACAAGCTTCTGCAAAGCAAAAGAAACCACCAAGAGAGCAAGGAGACTGCCCACAGAATGGGAAAAAATATTTGTCAGCTGCATGTCTGACACAGGTCTAACATCTAGGATCTACAAGGAATTCAAACATGCCTAAAGAAAAAAAAACAGCACCATTAAAGAGTGGGCAGCCAGGCTCGGTGGCTCAGCCTGTCATCCCGCACCCCTTTGGGAGGTTGAGGTGAGTGGATTGCCTGAACCCGCAGGTTCGAGACCCGCCTGGGCAGCGAGACCTCATCTCAACTAAATCAAAAAATCAGCTGGGTGTGGTAGCACATGCCTGTAATTCTGGCTACTTGGAAGGCTGAGGCG